TTTGGAATCAAAGGCTGAGGGCAGGAGATTTAATGGCACCAAATTGCCATGGAGCTCCTTGGACCATGGACGGGTGTGGGAGAGGCTGACAGTGGGCAGGTACAGGAGGAGGGCTGATTGCTCTAATCAAGCACGCAGCCATCCTTGACTTGGAATTTTTCTCCTCAGCTCCTTGCTTGCTTTAAGTGCACGTGACTGGGATTTGCCAGTTCTCCACAGCCTCAAGGGTTGGATTTCTGGCTTACCTGGAAATCTGTCCCTCAGCTCCATGCCCAAGGGCTGTGTGAGCAGCAGCACCAGCAGCAGATGAATTGACCAGCAAAGGAGTCAATTTGTCACTGATAGTAGATCCTTTCACAGAGGGACAAAATCAAGCCTTTTTCCTCTAAAATTGCCACTTAAATAAAGCAGGCTCAAGTTTCCTGGCTGAAAGCTTTTACTGTTTTACTGAAAATCAGAATGACCTGATTTCCCTTTGGGTTGTGTCCCAGATGGAATGGGTTTTCCCTCACACTTCCCCTGTAACCCCACAAAAACCTATATTTTTGTTGTCTTAGTACTTATATTGTCTCACCTTTTTTGACAATGGTATAGATATTTTAAATCTGGGTTTTTTTGTCCTTGCAGTAGCAAATCCAGCTTTAGAGGACATGGTGGAGAGTGTTGAGGTTTTGGATGGTCTGAGCATGGGACATGGGGGAATTTTTAGATCTGTTACTACTCCATGCATAATTTTAGGCAAGTTGCTTCACTTCTCTCTCAGACTTCCTTTGGGACTGCTATAGGGAAAGGAAAATATGGAGCGTACCTCAGAGGGCTGCTGGAATGCAGGGAGAATCATTCCCTAATGTGTTTGGAAAGTGGAAATCCAAGTGCAAATGAAGTTTTGAAGCAGGTAAAAGGAGAAGAGAATCTGGCTGGAGACCCCAGGGTATTGACAGATGTGCAATTTCCTTGCTGGGCAGTTTAAACCTTCAAACCTAGGATAGAAGAGCTGCTGCTTTAGCTGAGGTACTCTCTACCGTAATCGGCTCTTTAAGCTACTAGACAATGATAATTGCGATAAAAATAGAGATATTTCATCAATCAGCTGGGAAATGACACAGAAATGAGCAATATTCCTGCAGGAGAAGCTGCTCCAAGGAGGGGCAGGTCCTGGCAGGGTGCCTGAGGTTGGAGTTGAAATGCTGATTGTGGTGCTGAACAGACCTGAGTGTCTGCCCAGACACCACTTCCACCTCCAGGAGAAATGAAAGAAAACTAATTATTGCCATAGAAAACATGAGAAAAACTATCTTTTTTTGCAACAGAAACAGCCTCTAGATGCTTTCAAACATGACTCCTCACAGATATAAGCTGTGTATTTCTAAGCATATACCCATCTCAGATTTGTAAATTTAGAGTAATTATCAATTGAAAGGATTGGCTTTTTTTAAATGAGATACAGCAATTCCCAGATAATCCTTGAAGGCATTAACACAGCTGTGGGTTTGAACACTTGTGTGGTCACTGACACTTTGGTCATCTGAACCTGTTTCCTTAAATTAAAGATGAACTGGGACTCAGAATGGAATTATAAACTTCTCAGACAAGAGGTTCTAAAGTGTAAAGCCCCAAACTTTAATTAAGACTCTGCCTAGCAACAAAAGTAAATATTTTTTGATTGCTCTCCTTCACACAAATTGTCAAAACAGCCAGTTCCAGAGTCATTACAACACAGGTGTGGCATTTTTCCATGGAATGACTCAGATTAATTAGACTCAGTTAATCCAATCAAGGGAAACATAAATGGAAACATAAGTAATATGGAAAGAAGCGAGTTGAAGAAAGATTTCATATTCTATTGTGGTGAGTTAAGTATTTATATATGATTAATATGTATTTGAACAATTACACATTGGGTAGCATCTTCCTTAAGATCCCAACTTAAGGGTAGATGTCAGGATCAATCAGAAATAAAAAGCAGGAAGTTAATTGTAATTAAACCACCATTCTTGGGTGTACCTGAGGCAGTCTGAAGTGAAAGGATGAAGGGTGGTCAGACATGTCCTGGCAGAGGACAAATCAGGGGTGAAGCCACATTGTGGGAGGAGAAGCGAAATGTGAGCAGATGTGCTGCTGCATGGAGGAGATAACTGATTGTTACTAATTTTAAATGGGATTCTGATCACATCACGCTTGACAGATTTCCTCTCACACTGGTCCTGTATCATGATCAGGACAAGTTCCTACCTGGAGAGATCAAATCTCCTTTGATGGAAAAAGAACTGGTAAGTTATTTTAAGCTTTCCTGTTTTGGTCTGCAATGAAAGAGAAAAGGTTTTGAAAGGCTGGAAGCCTTCTCAGGAACTGGCAGCAGCCTGTCCCATCTTGTACTTGGCAAAGCCTCCTGAGCCACTGTCAGCACCACCCACGTTTCCACTCAGAAAACCAGCAAGTCCTCCCAGCCTGATGCTCCTGAATCAGGGATCCTGACCCGGGAATCCTTTCACAGAACTACCAGGCTGGCAAACATCCCAAACCTTTGCAGGAAAAAAGCCTATAAAATTAAACTAAATGGAGGGCTACTTATTCTCGTGTACTTTTATGTTTGAATCACTGTTCAATTTTGGGTTGTTTTTAAAAGCTCGGTACTGGCCCTCGAGGAGGGGACAGCAGTGGGTTAACACATTAATATTCCTTCTTGTGACTTACGTTGCTTTATCATTGCCTAGAATATCTTTTAAGCATGTGAGTGTTGGTGTGTCCATATCCTCCTTGGATCAGTTAAATCAGCTGAATTAGTTGGGAGGGTTTTTAAAGGAATGTTCTGTACAAAGTTTTAGGGTTTTTTTCCCATAGCCTTCTTTTTTGCTGTGGATATAGAAGTCTCATGTAGAGAACTTTCTAAAATAAAGTGTGAATATTTTTATTACTCCTTTGTACAGTATTCTAAGAGAGACTAATAAAAATGAAGTATTCAGGTAAAAATGTGCACTTGAGTCCTGGAATCTTCACATGGATGGTTTTTGCTGTCATACAAGCATGGCAATGGCTACAGGAAACATGGAATGTCTCAGGTTGGAAGGCACCTTAAGGCTCCAGGGCCATTGCCACCACCTTCCATGGGCAGGGACACCTTCCACTAGCCCAGGTTGCTCCAAGCCACATCCAACCTGGCCTTGGACACTCCCACGGATGGGGCAGCCACAGCTGCTCTGGCAAACCTGTTCTGGGGCCACACCACCCTCAGAGAGAGGATTTTCTTGTCAATATTCCCTCCTGAGTTCATTTCTCCATCTGTCAAAGAACAGCAGCATTACCTGGCTCAATAAATTTGAATACACAGTGATGGAATGGTTTGGCTTGAAGGGACCTTAAAGCCATCCGGTCCCACCTGCTGCCAGGGACAGGGACACATTCCTGTCCAATCTGACCTGGGACACTTCCAGCAGTGGACCTACATCTCCTACATCTGTAGAAGTTCCAGTAATGCACAGCCCCTGTAACAGATTCTGGATAAGCTGCTGTGAGCAGCCAGGGCTCCTCCAGCATGGCTCAGGTCTAATGCTGCCCTGACCATTTGTCAGGTAAGAGAAAGGTCAAGAAAAAAAGTCACATTTAATATCAAAGCAATCAGTGAATACAAGTACCAGAGAACCAATTTTTTGAACCTGCAGGACAAAAAAAAAGGACTTCCAGTAAGAGGTGGATGCAGGCAAATTAGTTCTTACGAAAGTGATGTTTATGCGTTAGGTAAGCAGCTCATTGTAATGAATATTTATAACCGTGGTAGATGAGTACACACACAGGTTAAGGAGAGATCTGCTGTGTGTCCTCTGCAGATGAAGAATACCTGTTTCTAACACTTTAAATTGTGTTAGAAAGTTTATTCTGGGCGATTTCGGTATCACCAGAGGTGAAGCAGTCCTGCTGTCTGCTCCAGACACCCAAACCACAGGAGGCATCCACCCCACACACAGGCAAGTGCATTATCCAGAGCTTTGGGTGGGGGAGAGGGTCGGTGGGAGCTCTCTGTTGGAGTCCAGGACATCCCTCTGGCTGCCCTGGCTGTCTCGAGACCCTGGCAGGGTTCTTGGAGACCTTGTCATGAAGTTAAAAACATCTGTGGCTTTGATTTTAGCCTGTGGAAAAAGCTGTCAATTTTGTACGAGGAATTACAAGTCACAAGGATTTTAGTAGTGTGATATTTGAACTAACACAGGGTGGAAAAGTAGGATTTTGGGGTTTTTTAGACTATAACTCAGGGGGTACAAGATGGAGGAATTTGGGCGTGTCCTAGCCTTCTTCTCCTTCGTCTTGTCCTCCAAATCTTGGTGTGATGGTGACACTTTTCTATTGGTTTAAGGTAGAGATTCACAGTCTAACATAGGTGATGGGAATTGGTAATAAATTGTAAACGGTAGACACGTAGTTTTGAGTATATAAGGTGGGAGCCACCTGAGGCTCAAGGGCAGAATGCTATGGTGGACTTGCTAGGCAGAGCTCTGCAGGTCAGAGAATGATATCAATAAGAAGAAATAAACAACCTTGAAACACTTTCCAGGCTCTTTCTTTGGCTGCATCGGGCTAGGGAAGCAAAGACTCTTTATGATCTTGGGATCACCCTGACCTTCAGAACATCAAGAAATCAACATCTGCTAAGTGCTTTTGTTTAGTTTTCCTCTATTTTTGAAGACTTCCAAAACAATGTGTCATGGAAATGTTACTAACATTGAGCACACAAGGCTGTTTTTCTTTGGAATGGTTTAAATTGAAATAGGATAGCATTAGATGGGATATTGGGAAGCGATTCCTCCCTGTGAGGCTGATCAGACCCCTGGCACAAGTTGCCCCAACAAGCTATGGCTGCCCCATCCATGGAAGTGTCCAAAGCTGTGCTGGATGGGGCTTGGACCAACCTGGGAGAGTGGAAGGTGTCCTTGATCATGGCTGGGAGTGGAATGGGATGAGCATTAATCTCCCTTCCAACCAAAACCAATCTGGGTCACCCAATTCCCCCTCCCCAGTTCCATTCTGTAAAACACCAGAAAGGTGGAACTGAAACTTTTTGATAAAAACAAGCTGTCTCAGAAAAGAAACAGGGATTTCTTTCTGGCCCTCAAACACCAGCTCTCCCCTGCAGACCACCAGGGCTTGCCCAACAAGGCTGGGCTGATGTCACTCTATTTTGGGCAATATTTGTCTCCAAAATCAGCACTCTCAGAGTCTGCTAACTGCACTCTGCAAAATGACTGGGATTTGCCAACAAAGCAGAACAAGTCAAAGCAACCCCCAGCTCCTGCTGCTTCTACTCCAAATATGCCCTGTAACAATCCTGTGATAATCATGTCCTTGGATAATGTGAGTTATTACTTTGAAAACTTCTGAATAGTTAAATTAAATAGTTAAATGCTTTGTTACAATGTTCTGCTAATACTTCAAGTAATTCAGCTTAGCTTGTGTTCTCTTTTCTTTCTCAAGGCACAAATCCCCTTGGCTTTGCTTCAAAACTTCAGCCACAGCCAGAATGTTTAAAAAACTCACCAAATTCATCATCAATGAAATGGATCCATACAAGAAATTTGATCCTGTCGAGAGCATCGCAGACAACGAGCACTTCAGGCCCCTCTGTCTACTGAGAAAAAAGAGAAAATCAAAACGCATATTCCACCCAACTCCCTATTACGAGCAGACAGGGTTCACACTGGATGATGTGCTGCTGCCTGGACAAGATGGTAAAATCATAGGTAAATCCCACATTTATCAATCTAAAGGTCACCAGTTCTATAGATAATGTGTTTGGGTCATTTGTGGTCACTCTATCAAGTTCCAGCTTTCCTCTGTGTGTGATATACTTACAGTGCTGAGTCTGTGTAATCCTGCTTAAGGTAACATATGGAATTATTTCAGAATCTCTCCAGCAAGATTCCAGCCGATTTACTCTCACAAAAAACAGTGCTGTCCAGGTGGAGGGGCATGCCAGTGTTCCTTTGGGCCCTGCAAGTGGAGACCTGCAAGGAGGTGCCTCCTCGTCCAATGTCTTTTCCATTACGATAGAGAAGAAGAGTGTATCACTGCAATCACTGGTGGCACTGAGAAGAGAAAGGTAAGGAATGACAAAGGGAGCACACACACTCCAGGCATCCCCCTCCAGCCCATGCCAGGTCAATAATGGGTTTTCAACAGCCAAAAACAAATACTAAGAACTTAGGGCAATTATATCCCCTAACTAGGCCAAGGACTGGAGTTAAAAGGTTGCCCCTGTGTGGGATGGGGTCACGCTCCAGCACGGTGTGGGTGGAGGGAGGCAGAGATCTCTGAAGCTTGCTCTTGGGGAAAAAGGTTTATTGGGGGACCGGGGATGCCCGAGCCTTGTGCTCTCAGGCGTAGCACGTGGCTGGGCTTAGGAGGACGGGGGAGGGGAGAGAGAAACGGAGGGTTTAGGAGAGGGGAAGCCCCAGGAGGGGAGGAAGTCCAAGAGAGGAGGAGAGGTTCCAAGAGGGGGGAGAGGTTCCAAGGTGGGGAGGAAGTCCAAGAGACCGCATGGCCCCTCGGAGCCCCCTTATCGGGCTCCCAGGTGGGCCGGGACAAGGCATGGGCCAATGGGGTTACAGACTCTGATGTTTTAGGGGCAGGTACAGGGGTGTGGGATGAGCCACAATCTTTTGTGGGGTGGGATGGAACAGTCCATTTCACTCCAGGATTCATCCAAGGGCAGAAGTGACATCCGGCTAGCTGAGAGAACAATCATATCTATCTATCCTCTGCAACACCTGAACCTCCTCTTCTACAGCCTGAGCACCCCCAGCTGTGTCAGCCGCTCCTGGTGCTCCAGACCCTTCTCATCCTTTTCCTCTTATAGACAAATCAACATGAATCACTCCCTCATCCAACAGCTACAGGGAACAAACATTGATCTATACATGGTCACTGAAATCCTTGAGGCCTCAGAGGAGACCATCTACAGGGCAACCATCATGGCAGATGGGGTCTTTAATATCATATGTCACATCACACTTGGTGCACAGGTTTGGATTTTCCTCTCCTTTCTTCCCCAGCATCTGCACCCAGGTGTTCTAACAGGTTGTTTTCCTTGACCAGGGCACCAGAGAGAGCAACCAAGGCATAGTCATACCCAAGGGCTGCACCCTGGCCTTCAAGACCATCCCGCTACAAATTAAAGATGGAGCATGGGGTAAGCAGCTTCCAGAAATGACAAATTTCTCCCTTCTGGAAATAGTGCAGAAAAGGAAGAACATTTTAGGAAGTATCACTGCACCCCAGATACACCCTCATATTGTCTGCAAGGAGATGGAGGCAGTGTGAGGGACAGAAATCAGCTGGAGGAGGTCAGACAGCCCATGCTAGGTCAAAGAACTACACAGAAAAATGCTGTTTGCGGGGGGTTAGTAAAGAAAGAAAGAAGTCTCAGATCTACATTTCAGGAGCTGCAGTA